CCCCAAAACCCCAAAACCCCAAAACCCCAAAACCCCAAAACCCCATTTTTCCTTAAAATTATTGAAAATTTATTTGTAGTGTTTGTATGGCACAACTTGAAGAACCTCTTAATGCTCATCTCAACGAGCAGATTGATAAAATTGAAGAACAGATGGTAGCCAAGAAGGATTGGACAATGCAGGGAGAAATCACTGCCAGAGATAGGCCTATTAATTCCCTTTTAGAGGAGCATCTTGACTTTGACGTTGCTGCTAGATCAGCTCCCAAAGTAACTAAGGAAATGAACAATAATATTGAGGAGATGATCAAGCAAAGGGTTAAGGATGAGCTTTTTGATGACCCTGTTAGGAAACAAAGAGCTCAGCCTAAGGTCAGAGTAGCTGCAGAGGACCTCATGGATTACGAAAAGAGCAAGAAAGGCCTTGGAGAGATATATGAAGATGATTATAAGGTCGCACATCTGGGGTACTCAGCGAACCCTGAAGAAGATGCTACAAGAGAGGAGATCGATGAGCTCTTTGTTGACTTGTTCTATCAATTAGATTCTTTGTCAAATGCTCATTTCACACCAAAGCCAGTTAAAGCTGAATCTAAGATAACGACTCAGAATGTGTCTGCAATCATGATTGAGGATAAGACGCCAGTGATCATGAGTGAAGCCCAGACCAAGTCTGCTAAGGAGGTCTACGACAAAAAGCTCGAGGAGATCCCTGATGGTGAGGAGCTTTCCAAAGAGGACAAGAAGGCAGCCAGGTTGAGAAAGAAGAGAAAAATCAGAGTCCATCTTCACAAGAAAGAAATCAAAAAGAAAGAACAATTGAGAAAAATGGACATGGCCATGAAAGAGAAATACGAGGTCAGGTACTCCAAAAAGAGAGATGCCAAAGATGAGAAGGTTGATAGCAAGAATGAACACAAGAGTAATAACTTCTTCGCCAAGATGCAGAACATCGGTCAGGAAGATCGTGAAAAGAAGGAGGCAGGTAGCAAGTCTAAAACTACAGCAGTTGATGATGGCAGGAAGGGAAAAGACTTTAAATTATAATATCATGACATTTCTGCAATCCTTCGAGCCTTCAAGGGGTTTTGGGGTTTTGGGGTTTTGGGGTTTTGGGG